CCTGATGGTATAAAACATCTGCTTATGCTTTGTTAGTCAGAGATCAAGTGCTGTCTGCGTACAGCAGTGGTCTCCCCACGCGTGTATTTCATTAAAGTCAATTGTTTGACCAAGCTCTTCTGGACCAGGGTTGTTTTTACTCTCCTCCTCAATATTGAACCCTTAACATTTGGGGGCTCGTCCGGTGGTTGAGGAGGGAGAGAGTTGGAGGTGTAGATGGAGAAATCCGGGGTCTGAGGTGGTCAGACGGGCAGGCACGAGTGCCAGTGGTCGAAGTGAGTGGGCATAAGCCGGCTTATCCACAGGTAAAGCACTACCTGTTCAATTATTTCCAAAGCGTGCCAAATTGGACATGAAAAAATTAAAGTCTACTCACTGAAATTACTGGTGAATGTCTGTTTTGATTTTGGTGAAAATTTCATGAGAAGTTAAAGCAGTTTGACTGCTAACAGGATTTAAAGCGGTTGGACCGCTAAAAAGGATTTAATGCGGTTGGACCGCTAATGAGGATTTAAAGCAGTTGGACTGCTGAGTGAATTTAGTATATTAGGGAATTTGGTCATTTTTTGGGTTAGAGTCCCTATTGGTTATAAGGTTGGACCTGCTTCAGTCTTACACTTTTTTGGGTGTTTTACTGGTGTTCCAAAGTATTATAAATTATTCGAGAACGGCGGTTGGACTGCTAGGAAGCGCAGTGCTCAGAGGTAACGCTTGCCAAGGCCAGGGACGCCTAGGCCTTGTCCTGTTTAAGATACTGTTTAATAAAATGTATTTTGTGACCAAGGGCCTCACTTGAAGCCACTTCAGTCAACTGTCCAATTACTTTTAAGCTGGTCAAGAAGGCTCAGCAGTGACTGTATTTCCTGAGGAGTCTAAGGAAATTTGGTATGTCGACCAAGATCCTCAGCAGCTTTTATGGCTGTACTGTGGAGAGCTCATTGACCAGCTACATCACTGCATGGTATGGCAGCACTACTGCAATGGACCACAAACACCTGCAGCAAATGTTATTTCCCTAATCCATCTCGTTTCCCTGAGTGTTCTTTCCTCTCAGTTCCCAGGTCATGTTGTGTGAATTAGTCTGTCCTAGATTTACTTTGATAGTCTCCTGTCTGGTGTGCATCATGTTCAGTTTTGTTTCCCCCTGCCTCATTAGTGAGATCACCTTCAGCTGTATTCCCTCATTTGCCCTCCTCTGCATTTATGTCTGCGTCTCCCTGTGTCCTGCGTTGCGATCTCCCTCACTCCCTGCTGAGTGTTCTGCCACCCACCTCCCTACTTCCCTGTTTAGTTTAATGTGTATTCCCAGTTTAGTTAGATTTGTATTTCTGGTGTTAAGCAATAAAGCTGCTTTTTGAGTTCCGTTTATCTCCGTAAGTCTGCATTTAGGTCCATTCCTGCCTGCTTCACACAGCCAGTTCATGACAGAAGGCCTGCAGATGCTATAGAAAGGAGATATGATGTGACACTACACGATCCATTCAGAGCTCATTACTGATTTAAAGGCTGATCTCTGAAAGTATCCAGGTGCTGGCTGTGAGCACAGCTTCAGCTGCTCTTCCTGCTGTGATTGGTGAAGAATATTCTGTTATCGATCACTGATGGTGCTGTGGATACATCCTGCTGTAGTAGGCTTCCTGTTACAAGCTGTGGAACCTCTCATACATTTTATGGCCTTTTTAGAGGGAGTTGACTGATTATGAAGATTTCTTTTAAAGCCCTTCACATCACCTTCACTTACTGACTGAACAGCGTACTGAAGAAAACGTGTGCAGAGTGTCGGGCTGAACTGGTTGATGAAGTTTTCCTCGCCTAACTAATTTCCACTCAGCATTAACTCCTCTCTGTTTTACTTTCACAGTTCAACTGGGGAGGGTCTCCTATACTCTACTCCTAAATTCAAGACACAATCAGGCCTTTATTACATTGAGGGCAGTGTCAGTGTCTCTACAATAATTCTAGATTCTATGTTAACACATTTCTAAACTCTACATGAGCTAAACATTTCTACACTGTGTGTTTAATTACGTGGGCACACAACTCAGATGTCCTAAAGAAGTTTGTTTGTTGAACATTTCTTGAATTTATCAAAGAAAATTCAATCTCATACAATAAGAAGAAAAGAAGCAAAGCCACTGGGAAGCCGACAAACAAACTTATGGATAAAATAAAACCTCATAATAAATCCATTTTAAAAATCCAGTCATTATTGGCCTTTATATGCTTTCATACATAAAACATGCATGGACAGCTAAAAAGGTGAATGGGCAATACTACTTTTAAAGTCACAATGACCTTCAAAGATGGCTTACCTGTGACCACAGCAGTGTGGTTCTTGCCACACACGTGTGTGAGGCAAATGAACCTCAAACAGAAATGGCCCAGCTGACCGTACTGACCCCCGCCGAATTATCTTTTAGAATTTTATTGATCATCTTTTGCCCACAGCTGAGACGGTTGGTCAGATCTAGAATCTCTGTGTGTGTTACAACTGCCGCTGTCAACAGGGTCTGCCGCCAGAATCTGTAGTGGGCAAAAGTAATATGACTGATCAGAGTCGTTACAGTCTGGCCCAAATAGAGAAACACCAGTCTCTAGTGCAGTGTTTAGGCCCTTTGGTTGCAGCCTTTTTTAAAACATGGTTACAACTAAATTTAATGGGAAGGATTCAGATATTAGTCTAGGTTAATGGAAAAGTAACTTGCACACAGACCCAGCAGACCCAGAATCCACTCAAACGGGTAAGATGTAGGCTCATTTGTAACTTTTGTTCCCAGCCAGACCACATAGCTCAGTTTTGTAAGAGCAAGCCTAGATCTGGATCGGTAAAGTAAATGACAACACTGTGGCAGGCAAAACAGTGGGTTGTTTTGATGCCAATGGGCCTCAAACTGAAGTGGTAAAACTAATTTGAGAAGTCCCTAAAGTCAATTTATGTCTTAATTATGTCCCAATAAAGTGTATTCTTGATACTGGATCAAATGTGTCATGGATAAAGAACAGCTACTAAACATTTTGGCATTAATGGTATGAAACTGAAGGATGCAAGCAGCCTGGCGCTTGAGGCTGCTAATGGAGCTGATGTTCCATACCTGGGCTATGTATTGCTACATGTGAAGGTTAGGCAGGTGGAACTGGCTGAATGTGGCTTTTTGGTGATTGTTGCTGGGTCCTCTCATAAACTTCTCCTGAACAAATAGGTGTAGTCAGGAAAGGTGTGTACTATATTATGCTGTCCTCCCAACTGCACAAAGCACTATTTACAAAAAGAATAAAAAAGTAACTTAATCCAAAACAAAATTATTTACATAGCTCAAGAGGCTGAACCATAACCATCTCACACGACTCCCAGTGGACGCACAACTCTGTGAAAATGGCTGAAAACAATATTGTGAACGCAGAGTGTTTTCAGATTCAAATTTATCTGGGCTAATGTGGACGTAGCCTCAGACTCATGTTGAAGATCTGAAGTAGATCAGTGGCATGCCAGTGGAGAGAGTGGACAGTTTCCAGTACCTGGGTGTCCATATCACTCAGTACCTGTCATGGTCCTGCCACATTAACACCCTGGTTAAGAAAGCCCAACAGCTTCTCTTCTTCCTCAGAAGACTTGGAGACTTCCATCTGCCACTGAGGGTGCTTAAAAACTTTTACTCCTGCACCATCAAGAGCGTCCTGACGGGAAACATCTGCACCTGGTTTGGGAACAGCACCAAGCAGGACAGACAAGATCTGCAAAGAGTGGTGCACTCGGCCGAATGCATCATTCGATCAGAGCTTTCTGACCTGCTGTCCATCTACTCCAAGCAGTGCAAGACTAAAGCCAGGAAGATTATGACGGACCTCTCCCATCCCAACAATGGACTCTGCTCATTGTTGAGGTCTGGGAAGCACTTCCGCTCCCTTAAGACTAAAACAGAGAGAATGAGGAGGAACTTCTTCCCCCAGGCTATTCGGGCCCTAAACCAGGTGTAGGACTGGACTCTCCCACACACATCACATCACTGTAGGACTGGACTCTTTCACACACCTCACATCTCCACACGCACTCTGGTTTTTCCTTTTGCACACTTCTTATAATTTATAATTTCTTTTTATTAATAATTTCTTACATAAACTGTTATTTGCACATCTTACTGTAAATTTCTAAGTTAAATCTGCAAATGTTTGTAGTAATCTGTAACTCTGTAAATATTACTGTCAATTCTATAGTTTAATGGTTGGGCATTGCACAGCAATAAGCATTTCACCTCATGTCATACTGTGTATGGTTGTGTGTGTGACAAATAAAATTTGATTTTGAAATTTGAATTGGAACTCCAGACAGCTGGGCAGCCCAGCACCTGAGGCCTCTTGGACACACACCATCAGGGCCAGCAGCTTTACTGGAATGGAGTCTGCCCAGTTCCCTTGTGATGTCATCTGCTGAGAGGGACAAAGAGAGACAGGCTGAGGGGGCAAGACAGGGGGGAGGAAAATGGAGAAGATCGGAAGAGCTGAGAGTGGAGACAGAAGACGCAGGGCAGTCAAACATATTGAAGTGCAGATTTAGTTTGTTTGCACATTCAACGTCCCCATCTAGTCCCACACCTTTCTTTTGTCTCTGGCCAGTAATGGCCCACATTCCCTTCCACACCTCCCTGGTGTTGTTTTCTTGGAGTTTGGACACCTTTCCCTCAGCAATCTTGGCTTTAAGCTCCTTCTGCACCAGTTTCAACTGTTCGTCGTCCGTTTCTAAAAGCTGTCTTTTTCTTGTTCAGTGCAGCTTTAATGTCTTTGGTTACCCAAAGTTTATTGTTGGGGAAGCAGTGAATGTTTTTTTTTTGGGAACAATAATATATAATAAAATAAAATGACCGTAATGCAGCATCTTCCTGTGGCTAAGCCTCTTCCTGCCTCTCTCTCTCTTTCCCCCTCTCTCTCACCTGTCCTCCTGGGTTTGAGCTACCTAATCAGCAGGGAGCCGCAGGGTGAGGAGGTGTGAGGGAGACAGCCAGCAGTGAAGATGACCAGGCAGACTGATGTCGACATACCAGGTGAGCCTTGCTACATATTATAAAGCCCTCGGCTTCATGCACACCTAATCATACTTAACACAGGCTCCCTTTTGCTCACGGTTAGCATGTTTCTATTTCTGTCAGCCTGCTGATACTTAAATGGCTTGAGCTCTGACAGCAGGCTTGGCTGGGATTTAGTGGGTGTTAAGTTCGGGAAGTACTTAAACTTTCTGTCCCAGGGCTTTCTAGAGATGAATCACAGACAGCAATGTGCAAAATTCTTGAACCGCCTCTCACCTAAAACCATTTCTTTAAGCAATAGTTCTCCTTAGGACACTGGCTGCTGTTTCATTTATTTTCAGTCCAGTCTCTATGCCTGACCGTTTTCAGGGGGATATTTTAATTTTTATTTGTTTGTTTGTTGTTGTTGTTAAGCCAGTTAACACTGACTTATGAAACACACAAGCATTAAAAAGACACCTAATTTAACAGTCATAAAACACAATTTGTTCCCATTTCTTTAGCACCTTAATCATATAAAAAATGTCAAAGAAAACATATTTGATAGGCATGAAACAGTATTGTTGCAACCACAAGATGATTCCTAAAGAGCTATTTGTCAAAAACCTAAAAAAAAAATCTTATCAGTGTGTTCTTAAAAATTTGAGGAAACTTTACAGTTGTAAGATAAAGAAGGTAGCAGGCTTAATAACCATCTACAGAAGATAAGCAGTATCTGAAAATCATGTCCTTAAGAAATCCAGCAAAGACCTGACACAGGAACTGAGAGATGCATCTGCCCTTCAGCTGATCCATCTACTGTTCACTGAAGTCTCATCAGAAATATTCTCAGTGGAACGGTGGCTGTCAAGAAACCATTATTAAAGAAGTAAAACCAGGAGAAAAGGCTGAGGTCAAATTGCAAAATAACTGGTCTGGCAGCAGCTCTTATGCAGTGATGAATCCAAATTTGAAATTTCTGGTTTAAATAATTGCCAAAATACAGAAGAGGTCAGGAAAGAGGCACAACCATCTGTAAAGCCCTGTGTGAACCCTGTGTCATGGTTTAGGGTTGTGAGAGTTCAGACTGTGTTTAAGAATAAAGGTGGTCTAATATCAACTTTCAAGCTTGTAAGAATTACACAAACTTGTTTTTTGCCTTATAATGGTGTATTTCCATGTATGTTTGCATGTTTCAATAGATAACTGCACCTCTTTCCCATTTTCATAGCAAAATATACATTACAAAAAAGAGAGGTCACTAAAGACCTTTGCACAGCTCTGTATTTGTCCATCTGTTACCAGAAACAGGAGCCATTTTCACATTTGGAAGGACCAGCTTTGCTAATAATGTTCCCAGCAAGTTCTGGCTGAAGAATGACCATCCAAAGAAAACGTCATGTGGCGGAGAGCACTCTGCTGTTATCACAGGTACACTGTATGTATATTTTAGTAATGAAAGCTGACATTGTTCACTAATAACATTATTTTTGTGCCTGCAATGGCGTTACAGAAAATGGGAGGTTGCTGATGTTTGGTGGCAACACATGGGGCCAGCTGGGGTTGAGAATTAAGCCTAGTGCCAGGAAACCAACCTCTGTGAAAGGTTAGTATTTTTCACCGTGGCTGGGTCATATTGCATCAAACGAGTTATTTTTTTGTGTAAAGCATAAAAAAACCCACATGCCAAAATAAGCCCACATGACTTATTTTGTTAATCTAAGCCCCAAAATATAGAGTACAGTGCAATACAGTTTTATATACTGGGATCTTTATAATTAGAGCTATTTGTATTTATTCAAGCTATTTTGTTATATTTTGTAACTTATATATTACTTGTATGTAACCAGTTGTGTTGTATTGTTACTGTTCTTACTGTCTTGGAGCAATTGTGACCACATAGTTTCCTCTGGTATTGTGATTCTAATCACATAAAAGACAAAAAAATGTGAGACAAAAAAAGGCAGAAAGTCGAGAAAATGTGTGATAAATTTGAATTATTTTTAATTGTTAACTAATGACCAGAACGAGAATTTGTTAGTCCATTAACAAGAAGATAATTGTGGTATTTTGAAGCCATTTTACTCACTATAATTGCTGCATTTCCTTTCCAGCCTTGAAGTCTGAGAAGGTGAAGCTTGCAGCTTGTGGGAGAGACCACACAATTGTTTGCACATGTGAGACAATAAACAAATATATAATTACACGTGAGAGATGTTTCCATGAACACTGTTGTCCTCAAAATGAATATACTTGTATTTTTAGTTCATGGCAGTGTATACAGTGCAGGTAGCAACCAGGACGGGCAGCTGGGTTTAGGCCATTGTGACAAGTCTACATACTTTCACCTGCTCCGCCCCTTCTGCGACTGGGCACCAATCAAAATGCTTTCTGCAGGATGCAACACCTCAGCTGCCTTAACAGGTCTGAACAATGACGATATAATAAGTTTCTCTGCTAGAAAAGATGATCTGAGCATATGTAAAGTGTATGTACGTATGTGTGTTGGTAGAGGATGGGAGGCTGTTCATGTGGGGGGACAACTCTGTGGGTCAGATTGCTTTCGGGGACGAGGGATTTGCTGCAGAACCCAGAGAGGTCCACATTGGAGAAGCAGTCATATGGGTGTCCTGTGGGTATAAGCACTCAGCTTTTGTGACAGGTACAACGCAGTCCAGCCACATGCATCACTGCGGTAGGTCCAATGTTAAATTAACCAGTCTTCAATACTTGTGTCATTTATTGTGTTGGATTTGTCCCAGTTTATGGTCGTCTCTACACGTTTGGTGAGAGTGCGAATGGAAGACTCGGTCTTCAGGAGGAGCAGCTGGCCAATCACAGAATTCCTCAGCAGGTGCCAGGAGTCCTGGGTCATGTCACCCGAGTGTGCTGTGGAGGAGAGCACACAGTGGTCCTCACAGGTTTGCTAACGATTTGTTATTTTTAAAGAAAAGCATAAAACATCTGTGAAAGGAGCTGGTTAAACAGCGATGGAAAAGGTATTCAGGTCTTTAACTTAAGCAAAAGTATCAGTGTGCCTGATAATGATTTTCACATTATTATGGGAAAAAATACTTTTACTGTATGCATTAATATGTATGCAACATTTAATGTCAGCTGATCAAAGTAGGGCTGATTTTAACTGTAAAACACATGTGGTGATCACATCGTGTTTCCTTCTTTAAA